GTGTGTGTGTGTGTGTGTGTGTGTGTGTGTGTGTGTGAAGAAATAAGCAAACCCAGTCAAAACATTGGTGTTTATTTTTTATGCTGCCCTCCAGTGGTTGATTTTATGAACTGCTCAGGTTGGTTCCCTAAAGGAGAGTGAAGGGAGAGAAGCAACCTGAGCTCATCTCTAGGAAAGTTGCATGGTTTGTTAGAGAAAATAATTTAATGAGATGTTTTTCCTACAAAGCCTCTTTTAAGTAATTTTATGATTTTACAGCACAGAAAAAAATCTAAACATCTAAAGTCTTTATTTCATTTCTTAAAAAAATAAAATAAAAAAGAGAAAAATCAATATGATTTCTCATGTAAAACCCAGCTTTGTTGGAAAGAATGGGTTAAGTGTGGGATGCGAGCTGTCCCTGCTGGGATACTGAAATTTATCACTGCCAGCGCTAATGTGCAAATTTTGTGATGCTAGCCGTGCATTGTTAACTGTGATTGTCATCTAATTAAATTGTGGTTCGTCACAAGAGATGCTTTTAATGGTGAGATAAGCGCTGGGAGTCCACTGAAGCGTTCCCAGGATCAATAAAGATGTTACAGTCTGTGAATTGTCTCAGGGTTACACAGGCCAGTTGAATTAATTAGTACTGCAGTTTAATATCCTCCACTCAAACTTTCTGGCCAAGCATTTGGTTGGTCATGGGATATGTTGTTCCTCTAACTATGTGTATTTGCGGTTGGGTAGCTTTAATAATTAGATTGAATTTGTTGATGTTTTTTTTTTCCTTTTTATTTTACACATAGATGCACAAAAACTCAATATATTTGCTGATACAGATGTTTTCTGGGCATTCTTACTGTATTCTGAATGCTATTTATGTACATTTTGATCATTTTTCAGTTGTGAATGAAGCATTTACCATCTTCTGTCATGGAAAAGGAAAATATAATGTTGCCTATAAAGCCTATACTTTTAACACATCTCACAATCTGTACATCTATAACTGTTTTAATTTTTGGAGCAAACCTGATTCAAGATGGTGCAAAAGCTGATCAACTTTAGCAGACCCAGAAGTGGTTATAACTCCATTATTTTTACYTGAATACTGGTGTTGTATCTGCTGAGGGTAATTCTTAACACATTCTGAGCACTTTGAACTTAAAACTTCGACATGTAAGTTGGCAGGCAATATGCATTCCTTTAAGAAATGGTGCCCAAATGTTTGACTAACACAGTAAGTTCAAACAGCAAAACACATTTTCTATTGTATCCTTKGTGGACAAAATGGATGGAAAAAGACAGACAAAGAAAAGGAGAAGCAGAAGAGTGATGGTACTCGTCAGAGTAAACTTTGACCATGTTGTGTTTCAGACATGTGACCAAGATCGTGTGCACCCCGGGGTTCCTTACAGAATGTGCCTTGTGTTGGTATAACCAGCCGTTGGCTCAACTCAGGGGCTCAGCTCAGGCCACCTAACTGAGAGTCAAATTAGAGGCGCTCAGTTGTCACCTCATGCCTGACTGACCCACGACCCCGAGGGTCGGGACCCATGTCTGGGTCACGTACGGTCCTGTGACCCACTTACCAGCTGATGGAAGCGTGACAGTTATTTTCCTATAAAGCAGCGTCAACTTCACCTTGAGATAGCAGGTCTGAAGTCTGCAATGCTGCAACTTGTAATTCTGTCAGATCAAATGAGTTTAATTAGTTTGACTCAAAACAGTATTTTCTAGAGAATGAGAGGAAATTAAATATTAGGCCTTGGAGTTCATATTGTTTGTCTAGTATATTACTGAATACACAATTCAGGGTCCTTCTTTATTTATTGTTATCTTTATTTCCCACAATGTCAGCAAAGATCCAGTCATTGCATTCTTAGCTTCTCCATGTAAAACTCTAACAATACAGCATTTTGGCTGCATCGAAAACTCAATACTGGAGTTGATAAAGACCTAAATTTAAACTGAAATCTGTCTGTATTGTGATCTGAGCTGTATTTGATATCATCTGACATAAAATACCTTGTGGGTGTGGAGGAGCCCACTGCAGGCTGCAAAGTGGTGGAGGCAACTTGGAGCTCATCACCTGCTTCCCTTATTGTCACCCTGGTTCCTGCAGCTGTTGGGCACCACAGGGCCAAGTTTCTGCTCTTTGAGCCAACGCCAATCCACACCATCCCCCGTTTGCCCTTTTAATGGTAAGTGTCATACTTTTGCAAACACAGAATAGCAGATTGTGTTCAGAAACTAGATTTGTCCAGTGTGATATTCCAATGTGATATTCATATTTCTTAACATCAATTAGGCACTGTAACAGGATAAATGTGGGATTGTCTTGATTTTGTTTCTCTTTAGCTGTGTCAACTCATAACAGCTTTAACAGATCTGCAAGAAAATAATGTTTCAGGTTAAATAAAAGTTGCACCTTTGTTGCTTAATTTATTAAGATAAAATAAAACTGCAGCTTCTCCTTGAGAGGAAAAGGTCTATTAGCTCACCGACATGCTGCTCAGTAAGTCATTTGAGTCTGTTACAGTGGCWAACTGCCTTGTTACCCCAGTGCCTTGTTGTGCAGCCTGACCAATTACTTTTGAACTTAAGTGGACATGACATTTGTAGGTTTTGCACTCTGGAATGACTGCACATGTTAAAAGATGCATCATGCCTTTTCCCTTGCAAATAATTCATAGCACTCGACCCCCAAAGGATTTACTCTTTGAACTTAAAGGGACACACTTTAAATATAGTTGTTACAGCTGTGCTTTAAAAKAAAAGTCACAATTTGGGATTTTTTTGTTGACACAAATCAACAAATTAGATTATTTTTAAAGGGACCACACAGATATTATTTAAATTGGGTTCTGTGGAAAGCTAATGAACAATTAAAATCTTACCTGTTACCTTCTGAAATAGCCTCAATTAGGAGAAAATAGAGTTTATAGTTAGTTCAAGCATTTCCATGAAGAAGACAACTTTAGTGATTTAGTGTGCAKGAGGATGCGGAGTATAGCAATGAAGGACTTCTTCCCATTAGCTACTGTGTTTTAATCAATAAGAAAAAACAAAGTTCCTCTGGATGGGTTGTTCTTTAATGAAACATTTTGTCTCTCTTCCAAGAGACTTCAGTCTKAGGAGTTTCAGGWGAACTCAGCTACTGTGTTTTAACTTTTTTTAACCAGCCGTGTTACAGGTACTTTGTCTGACAAAGAATGATTGAACAGATTCTTATGGACAGAAGAAATCAAAGAATTTAGTGTCCCTTGCCCGGACGTGGGTTACCGTGCCAGGCCTGGGGGAGGGGCTCGTCGGCGAGTGCCTGGTGGCCRGGTCTTTACCCATGGGACCTGGCCAGGCTCAGCCAGAATGAGCTACATGGGTTTGCCTTCCTGTGGGCCCACTACCTGCAGGAAGGGCCATACGAGTCGGGTGCATGATGCCATGGGCAGTAGCCAAAGGCAGGGACCTTGGCACTCTGACCTTGGCCTACCAAAGCTGGCTCTTGGGACATGGAATGTCACCTCTCTGGTGGGGAAGGAGCCTGAGTTTGTGTGTGAGGTTGAGAGGTACCAGCTAGAGATAGTTGGGCTCACCTCAGTGAGCCCAACTATATCTAGGTTCTGGAGCCCACAGCATGGGCTCTAGAACCGATCACCTCAAGAGGGGCTGGACTTTATTTTACTCTGGAGTTGCCCATGGTGAGAGGCGCCAAGCTGGTGTGGGTCTACTTTTAGCCCCTTGACTTGGTGCCTGTGTATTGGAGTTTACCCCGGTAGATAAGAGGGTAGCTTCCCTGCACCTTCGGGTTGGGGGATAGGCTCTGATGGTCATTTGTGCTTATGTACCAAATGATTGTTCAGAGAACCCAGTCTTCTTGGAGTCCTTAGCAGGGGTGCTGGAAGGTGCTGAAGCTGGGGATTCCTTTATTCTGATGGAGGACTTCAATGCCCATGTGGGTAATGACAGTGTGACCTGGAGAGGCGTGATTGGGAGGACTGGCCTCTCCAATCTGAACTTGAACTTTCTGTTGTTGGACTTCTGTGCTAGTCACAGTTTGTCCATCACAAACACCATGTTCGAACATAAGTGTGTCCATAAGTGCACGTGGCACCAGGACACCCTAGGTCGCAGATCAATGATTGACTTTGTAGTCGTGTCATCTGATCTGCGGCCGCATGATTTGGACACTCGGGTGAAGAGAGGAGCTGAGCTGAGCTGTCAACTGATCACCACCTGGTAGTGAGTTGGATCAGATGGCGGGGAAAGATGCCGGTCAGACCCGGTAGACCCAAGCATGTAGTGAGGGTTTGCTGGGAAGGCCTGGCAGAGGAACCCGTCAGACAGATCTTCAACTCACACCTCCAGGAGAACTTCAGCCACATGCCAGTCGAGATGGGGGACATTGAGTCCAAGTGGGCCATGTTCCACACCACAATCGTTGAAAYGGCTGCCTTGAGCAGTGGCTGCAAGGTTGTYGGAGCTTCTCACGGTGGCCATCCTCCAACTCTGTGGTGGATACCCTGGGTAAGGGAGGCTGTCAAGCTGAAGAAGGAGTCCTATCTGGCCTTGTTGGCTGGTAGGACTCCACAGGCAGCTGAGTATCGCCAGGCCAAGTGGACTGCAGCCCTGGCTGTTGCTGAGGCAAAAGCTTGGATGTGGGAGGAGTTTGGTGAGGCCTTGGACAAAGAGTCTCGATTGGCTCTGAGGAGATTCTGGAAAACCATCTGTGCCTGAGGTGGGGGAAGCAGCACTCATCAACACTGTGTTCAGTGAAGGTGGGGTGCTGTTGACCTCAACCAGTGCTGTCGTCGAGAGGTGGAAGGAATACTTCTCAATCTCACTGGAACGTCTTCTATGGAGTAAGCAGATTCTGAGGACTTAGGGGCTGGTCTGTCCATAACTGGAGCTGAGGTCACTGAGGTAGTTAAAAAGCTCCAGGTCAGCAGGGCTCCAAGGGTGGATGAGATCTGCCCTGATATCCTCAAGGCTCTTGGCGTTGTGGGGCTGTCCTGGTTGACACGCCTTTGCAACATCACATGGACATTGGGGGAAGTGCCACTGGATTGGCAGACTGGGGTGGTGGTTCCTCTCTTTAAAAAGGGGGACCGGAGGGTGTGCTCCAATTACAGGAGCATCACTTTCCTTAGCTTCCCTGGTAAGATATTTTCAGGGGTATTGGAGAAGAGAGTCTGATTGATAGTTGAACCTCAGATTCTGGAGGAACAATGTGGGTTCCGTCCTGGCCGTGAAACACTGGACCAACTCTTTACCCTCACTAGGGTCCTTGAGGGGTCATGGGAGTTTGCTAATCCACTCTACATGTGTTTTGTGGACTTGGAGAAGCCATTCAACCGTGTTCCTTGAGGTACACTGTGGGGGGTGCTACGCAAGTTTGGTATTGTGGGCCCGTTGTTACGGGCCATTCAGTCTCTATGCAAGCAGTGCGAGAGTTTGGTTCACATTACCAGTAGTAAGTCGGACCTCTTCAGAGTGGGAGTTGGACTCTGCCAGGGCTGCCTGTTGTCACCGATTCTGTTCATAACTTACATGGACAGAATTTCTTGGTGCCGCTAGGGGGCGGAGGGAGTCTTGTTCRGTGGCCTCAGGATTTCATCTCTGCTGTTTGCAGATGATGTGGTTCTGTTGGTGTCATTGCGCCAGGATCTTCAGCTCTCGCTGGAGCGGTTCGCAGCTTAATGTGAAGYGGCTGGGATGAGGATCAGCACCTCCAAATGTGAGTTCATGGTCCTCAGTCGGAAAAGAGTGGATTCCTCTCTCTAGGTTGGGGGTAAAGTTCTGCCTCAAGTGGAGRATTTCAAGTATCTTGGGGTCTTGTTCACTAGTGAGGGAAGAATAGAGCGTAAGATTGATAGACGGATCGGTGCAGCTTCTGCAGTTTTGCGGACTCTGTACCGGTCTGTTGTGATGAAGAGGGAGCTGAGCTGTGAGGCAAAGCTCTCTGTTTACCAATCAGTCTATGTTCCTACCCTCACCTGTGGTCACAAACTTTGGGTAGTGACCAAAAGAACAAGATCACAGATACAAGCGGTAGAAATTAGTTTTCTCCGCAGGGTAGCTGGACTCTCCCTTGGAGATAAGGTAAGAAGTTCAGTTATCCGGGGTGAAACTCAGAGTAGAGCCGCTGGTTCTCCACATCGAGAGGAGCCAGGTGAGGTGGTTTGGCATCTAGTAAGAATGCCTCCTGGATGCCTCCCTAGGGAGGTGCTTCAGGCATGTCCAACTGGGAGGAGACCCCGAGGAAGACCCAGGACACGCTGGAGARACTATGTCTCTCGGCTGACCTGGGAACACCTTTGAGTCCTCCCAGAAGAGCTGGAAGAGGTGGCTGGGGAAAGRGAGGCCTGGGCTTTCCTGCTCAAGCTGCTGCCTCTGCGACCCCACTTCAGATAAAGCGGAAGATGATGGATGGATGGATGGTTACAGGCACTGTTTGAAAAAATAATTTACTATTCCGAAAAAAGCATTTGGTACAYAACCTATTCATGTGTGTTACCAGTACATTTTTAATTTAGTTTAACTAATTTTTAGATCTAATCAATTTTTAAATTTAAGTAATTATCCATCCATCCATCCATCCATTTTCTGAACACGCTTCTTCCTTTTCAGGGTTGCGTGGGTCACTGGTGCCCATATCCAGCAGTCACAGTGCGAGGGGCGGGGTACACCCTGGACAGGTCGCAAGTCCATCACAGGGCCTTTAAGTAATTAATTAAATTTAATT